CATCCCTGCCTACCTGTAAAATAGGTTTGCATTATTTATATACGAAAGAAAAGATGGAATGGGTCTCAGGACTCAGAACTAAAGAGTTCCCAACAAATGAAGAATGATTTGAAGTAAACAACAAACACTCTCAGCTCTTTAAACCAAATCAGCAGGCCAGATTTTGTAACAACACATAGCAACCGAGACTGCCAAATAAACGCTATTATAGTATCAGAATCTATTCCTTATTTTATACTAAAAAAATATTCACTCTTTGATTAGAGAAAGATCAAATGATTACCAACTCTTTCACACAGCTGATACGAAATATCTACAGAATAAGAATGTACTAGTTAACAATCCCCTAGTCTGAGCTGAGAAATAGGAACTGCACAATAAGAAAACTCACAGCAGAAATGGCAGTTCTGAACTGCCCAACCCGATCTTCTTCCTTCTGCCTCATGCACTCATCTTTGTACCCTGCATCATTGTCTCTGCGCACCTAAACACTGAAAGCTTTATCAGACTATGTACCATTTTATGTCCTCCTAACTCATGGTTCTAATGGAAGTGTCCAAAATTATCAGAATCTGAGGAAATATATTTTTTCAATAACCTCATTAGTAACAAACTCCATGGGTGCCGCAACCTCTAAGAGGGTAAATCCGAAGAACACATCTCTCCAGATTGCCCACAATGTGATGTCTCTGTACTTGAAAGCAATTTGGAGTGGGGAAGAGCTGATCAGAAGTTTCTCAGGTTGTCTTAATACTTGGACTTGTTTCCGCCTGCCCGGCACACTTCCTGGGTTTTTTCATTGAGGGGAGGGTGAGAGGACCCAGTCTCAACCGAGCAACACCTGCGTCTTCCTTTGATACTGCATCTCTGCTCTTCATTGGTGTCCTGTTTCTGCGTGATCTACTAGGACCATCTTGTGACACAGTTTTTTTATTTGCTGGCTCTGTCTTCTCTGTGTCCTTAACCATACTACTTAAGCGACGGCTACTGGGATCCAGACTCAACCAAGGACTGTTTGGAGAATCCCTGCCTAGTTCTTTGCCAGAATCGACATCCATTGAAGCTATTTCTACCGCAGATCTTTTGATATCCTGCAGATGGCAAAGTTCATGTATCACCACGACCATCCACAAGCCACAGAACTACACTACATATATGCTTGAATCCTATTGTCCACAATGTCCTTAGTTGTGAGAATAGAAATTAACACAAAAACAATGCTGCTCCCTGGGGACATATTGTATATAACTGAAATTATAACTACAACTTACCTTATCTTGCACTTCAATGATTTCTTCGCATTCTGAGCCCTCATCTCCTTCAGAATCAGCCATCTCTTCACACTCAAACTCAACATTTTCTTCTTCCATCATCTCTTCGTCAGAATCGCTTAATTCCTCTTGTTCCATCACTATACCATGATTAGACTGATCAGCCATCTCGTCAATGCATCTACTAATATCATCGCTTGGTGCGGTCGATCCAGGCACCTCACAACCATCACTACGTTGAATCATGCAGATGTCTGGAGCTTCTGAAATATCTGCTGCTGAGACACTACCACAATCTTTTACCTTAGAAGAGTTCAAACTTAGATAGATATCTAAGTTCACTTTTTTAGCATGGTTGCTAGAACTCGAAGGTTTTAAGCTGACAACATTACGATCAGCACCGGGGATAGAAGTCTTCTCAACAGCACCAGAAGTAACCTGAAGTTGACATAATTTGCCTTTCTTGCCAACGTCTGTATCACAATCGTTTCTTTGAAGAAGAGGATGAAAACAGCTGTCACCCAGTGCTACCTCATGTTTATTCAATGATGATGTTTTCTGGGACTGATCAGCTGAGGGATTGATTTGCCTTGGACTATTGAAAAGACTCAGCAGCTGAGGTCGGTTGTCTGAAAAGAAACTAAAGGAACTAGAACCTCCTGGGTCTCTGTTCGAAGGGTAACATGTAATCTGTCCATGCTCAGGGGTCCGGAACAATAAAGGATGCATTTGAAGATCTGAGTCATTGTTCGTTTCGCCCATCCCAGAGGAGCTTTCTGCAGGCACATTTTCCTGCAAATCTACCACTTTCTCGCTAGGGGGACCGTTGTTATCTCTGTCAGATGGAAAGCAAGGAATCCCAGTACCCAATTTTCCCCTCCCAGAAACATTAGAAAAGCCACCCTTAATGATACAAGTCTTGGAGGCTGTATGAGGCTGATTCTTCGCAAAAGCTGACTGCGAGATAACACGGACCGAAGATGGAAGGTTAAGTGGAGGCAAATCAGGGGCTAGTCTCACTACACTTCTGTCGTCACGAGTATGATATGGCTGCGCAGTTATCGGTGCTATTGAGGAACCAGGTGCTGTATCAGATGTGTGGTGGTATAGAGGTATGAAAGAAGGTGCAAGCCTCCGTGTACATGTTAGAATTTGGGCACTACAAAGTTCAGGTTTTTTAGATCCTTCACCAATACATGCTCGTACTAACTCATGATGATCACGGGGAACATCCTTAGCCTTTTCAAAGGAGGGCATAGACGTAGAATAAAAGAGAGTTGGCACGCCTTGCCTCCAGTCTGCTAAAAATCCTTCATGTAGGTATGCTTCACCTGAATTATCGACTAATTCATTGGCCTTAGAAGCACCATAACGGTCCTGCAACATGCGATGAAAGGTGAGTAAAGGTTAATTACATTTTTTATGAGAAAGCCAAAATTAACATGCTCAGTATGAGTGGGCTGTATGATTTGAGGGGTAGCCACAGATACGAAAGACAGACCTCTTTTGCAGCGGCCAACTGCTTTCTCTTTTCTGTATCATATACTCGCCGCTTCTCCTTTTTGACAGCATCTAGCTTATATGACTTCTGAATTCCAAGGGCAGTGCGCAATTGCCTTGGTAGTGAGGATGGGTCTCGATAAGGCACAATGAATCTCCACACAGACATCCAATCGTATTTGAAGTACTTCAGTCCCTGAGGATTCAAATTTATACTGAGCACCTGAGTACGATTCCCAATCAGAATTGCAAAAGGGGTGCGGGTGCGCTTGTCAAATTACCTCTTGTATACGTACTACCTCTTGTAAAGTCAGGGGAGAGCTTTTCATCCTCAAAACTGCCTGTAGGTGGCAAAATATACATACACATCAGTAAAATACATATCATTTTGTTGGCATCGGTCTGTGTCTGCGTTGAACATGTAATGTTGATTTGCATAATGTATATTTAAATTACACAATGGCCTGCTTGAAAAAGTAACTATACAAATCATGTACATTCAAGAATGACCAATATATTAGTGAAGGAATTAAAAGCATACAAGATGGTAATATTCTCCACTAATCATCCAATTTTTGTCACGGCATCCACAATTATCTTTTATGAGAATGAGTTCGTATACTGATTTCTCTTATGTGCATGATATAGCTCATATATATGTAATCGTTTCACAGTGCTTATTTGTCGACAAACAAGTTCAGACCACTGACTTTAGGGAATCGATTGGCAGGCAGAGAAACATACGAAACAGGGTGATAAATCAAAACAAGCACATAACAGACCTTAATTGAATTTTCTGGGGCTTTAGACGATCTCCGGTTTTTTTGCCTAACGTAAATCTGAAACAAACACAAGTAGAATGTATTAGAAGAGAAAAGTCTTTCATTTCTTGATCATCAGCCTTGTCGATGAAAACCCTATCAAACCACATGGACATGCAGATCATGAGCTACATAAAACTTAATACAGTTATGTTTAAAACATCAGTACACCAATTTATAAGTTTCTGGAATGAAAGCAGATAAAAAAATCTACAGACCTACGGCATCGACCTAAAGTTTTTGTCAAGATATAGCAGCTGAATTTATAAAATCTTCACATTATTATCTATATATATATACTTCACAGGTTGTGATCAGAATAGCCCTTATGAGAAGTAAGATGATGAGAGCAATTCCAATTAATACCAACTGATTACTTCGTAGCCCCAAAAAACATTCCTAGTTCTGCAGAAATCCAGTGATGAATACCTGATGCTCGCCTTTACAAGGAAGAAAGCGCTGCTTTATTGCCTTCCAGTCTGTGTTATATTCCATTATTCCAAGAGCCAGTAATCTTCATTGAAGCAGCACAAATAATCAATTTTTCTAGTAGATTAAAGCAAGAAAAGAAAAAGAAAGGAACTTACTCATCCTCAGAGTCAGTGAAAAGGAACCGATTGATAACAGCTGCAGCAGGTGGTTTGTGAGGAAATAGTGATACTTTGAAAAAGGGCAGAAATCTTTTAGCTAACTTGGCGATATCCTTATGGACCAAGGCAACAGATTGCTTCTTTGCTGATTCAACGAGTGTAGCAGCTAACGTCTTCTTAGATTGCTGCTGATCTGATGGTGACTTAATTGTGCTAGAGGCAGAACGAGGATTGTTTACGATCTCACCGCCAACTTCTTGATGAGGAAGTGGAAACAATGGCACCCTTTGAGACAAAGCATCATAACTAGATTCCAGTTGACAACGTCGATATTCTTGAACAGCTACAATGGTTTAATAATCAAGAGAATTAGATTGCAAAACAAAACAGATAAGAAAACACAAAGACATTGTCTTTTAACAGAATAACATACCACTAGAAACATCAACTAGATATCTCCCAGCTTGATCCACAACATGATGAACTGAACCAGTGAAAAGACGATGACTTGGGCATTCTTGGATCATCTGAGATATAAGTCCTTGGACTTGGTTTGCAACGTTGTGGCGTGAATGATCAAGTGCACAAAGAGAGTAAACCTGAATAAGAAGTTGAAGGTGATCTTGAATCAAACAATGCAATTCTCCCATCTGGGCTTGACTGAAGCCATTAGATGAAGAAGATACAAGTGCTGCTTCAGTAGCATAAAACCTCCTAGCAGGTTGTGCAATGGGCAAGATAGGTACAAGAGGTCGTAATAATCTGCCAGTCTGGTCGGGAGAATTGGTTTTGCGCTGAATGTTTTGCCGTCTAGTCACGGGCCGTCGCTTAGCGCGTTTGTTGTCGTCTCTTGTGACTTTTTCCGGTATACTCTCCTCGTCATCAGTCTCAAGTGCTTCTTCGAGTTCAATCTCGAAGTCTAGGTCGTTATCATCATCATCATCGTTGTTATTCCCACTCGGTGCCAAGTGAACCTCAG